TATATTTTTTTTTTTTTTATAAACATCATATCAACATTTATATAACAGCATTCCTTGTCTTGGTATGAAGGACTGTTTGCCTTGGGTGTTTATGGCTCTTACCTCCTCCAGCTCTTCCCTGACCATCTCCATAAACTATTATTACCTCCATATTTTCCCTTTCATCTTCGTCTGACGACACAGGGTCAGACGTCCTTTGCGTCGCTGGCAGAGGTGAATTTGTTGAGCCCTAATCAACCGGGGTGGCTTTTAGACCAGTTGAACTGGTATGAACCAGGGGAGTGGGCTGTGAAGGTTTTACACAATTGCAAATATAATCCACCTGCCCGGGCCGTGCTCACCGTGTGGATTAGAGCTGCACAGCTGATAGATCTTTTGTGATGACGGCGCTATAGATTGTTTGGTGTTCGTGTAATTTCTCATCGCGTGCGCTCATTTCACACTCGAAAAGGTACTGCGTATTTACTTGGGGTTTGTTTTATTTTCCTAACGCCATAAATGGTTTTATACCCGCGGAAAAATGTCGTGTTTTTCTCTTCCTGTACATCATTATGAAGAACTCACTGGAAGTAGGCGGGCCTGTATTTCACTGCTTTTACGATAGATTTCAGCTACCGGCTGGTGACTGGTGTGCTGGTGGCAGCTCAGCTGCTGAGGGGACTTGAGTGAGGATCTGTATTTAATTGGAAAACGAGTGGACGCGCATTGGATTCATGAGCGCTAAAGAACTGGTACCCCACGATTTTCCGTGAGCTCCCCTCTGCTGCATCTTTCATACGAAGGGGCTCAGTCTTGCAGGCAGGATTACCTACCCCTGCCTGGACATTCTCAAGCTTCTCATTGTGATTCCTAAAAAGATCCAGCTTAATTTAACAGCCGTACAGCCATTTCTTCACCAAAAGGGTTGTCAAGCAGTGGGACAGCCTGCCCACGGAAGTCTTGGAGTCACCATCCCTGGGGGTAGACGTGTAGACGTGGCGCTTAGGAACATGGTTTAGTGGTGGAGTTGGCAGTGTTGGGTTAACGGTTGGACTCGATGGTCTTAAAAGTTTGGGTTTTTTTCCGAGCTAAATGATTCCATGATTCTGTATATATAAGTTTTTTTAATTTATTCCGATGCTTGTAGGCATTGACAGCTACAGCAGCGCTACCTGCTGCAAGAGGCAGATGCTCCTAAACAGACACGTGCATCCTTCTGGTGCGGCTGAGCAGCCTGGAAGGACACGACACCCAAAGCACTTGGCATGAGAATGTGAAGCTCTGAAATTCCGATCGCCATTTCCGTGGCCGGTGTTGGGGGCGAGTGTCTTCTGCAGCGGGGTGTCACTCATCCCAAGGCTTGTCTGCAGCCACTGCCACCAGCCCAACCGGAACAGGGCGTGGGGCTGGGCGTGGGGATTCTCTTCTCCTTACGTTTCTGAAGTGCTTTGAGATTTGAAGCGGCCGTGACGTGGCAATGCCGGAGGGCACCGTTGGACTCGCATCTCCTTTATTTGAACTGTCTTAAAAACACACAGCTGGGTCAGAGTATTTTTTAATTCAGCCTTTTAACTTAGCAGTGAGGAGAAAATACTACTAGTCTTACGTAAGGCTTTTAAATAGTGATGTTTCTGAGATTAAAAAAAAAAAAAACAAAAAAAAAAACCACAAAAAAACATAGAAAGAGCTCACAGTGCATTCCCTTACGGTTCAAAATAATTTTTCTTCCAAAATTTCCATGGTGCTGAGCACCAGAAGGATGCCTTAGCCCCCTGCCCAACCTTCTTAACTACTCTCCTGCGGAAGACTGTGGGCTCTGTGTTAAAATAACTAAACAAATAACTAGAGAAAAAGAAAATAAAAATTCCACTAAGCTCCTGCCAGCGAGAGACTCAAAATACCACCTGCAGTCTAAAACTTTGGAATATGCACCTGCAGTCTTGCAAACTTCCAGACAAACCGCGAGATAAAATTAATGTCGTTTTCCTAAAAGGAAAAAGCTTCCATGGAGTTGCTTATGTGTTTCTTTGTGGGGTTTTTTTGTTTTTATTTTTTTTATAGGAGCTACTTTTCTGTTTGCAAAAAGAAATATTAGACTTGACATTAACCTCGGGGATGCAAAGGAATTGTCAGAGAGATTACTGCAAGTCCGGAGGAAGGCAATCATCTCTGGCTTTGAGAGCAGAGAGGATTTGCTTGACGACTGGCAGCATCACTGAGGCCAACACAGCACACGGCCACGTCAGGGACCATCCGGAAAAAATATAGTTTTGAACTCTCTCAGAAGGGTTTTTCAACTCGACCCTTTCAAAGGAACCTCTTTTGGAAGCGATTGCACTTACTGCTGTAGCATAATCACCGGAGCTCTTCTGATGGGATGCTCTTTCATCTTCCTCCTCAGCAAGGCGTCCCGCGTGGGCTCAAATGGGTTTGCTTGCTGATAAGGGTGATTGGAAAGAGCACTTAAAGGCAAAAAGCGAGTTTCTTCCAAAAGGATAAAACAAACCTCTAATCTATTGGGAAATAAATACACCTGCACTCAGGGAAGTTTCTGGTTCAGATGAAAGTTTAGATTTGAAAATGAGATATTCTGTGCCGTTTGCTGATAGTAGCAGAGTGGCGAGGGAAGAAATGAGCGGACATAGAGGTTCCCGTGAACGGGATCTGTCAGTAGATGTGGACCTCTTTGTATTCATTCGATTGCGCTTCTTTTCTCTTAAAATATAGTAGAATAAAGTCGAATTTAATGCATGATTTCTGAAGGGTATCACTCTTCAAGGTGTACACAGTGCACTGTCAAAATCCATCCTGCCCTACAGAACTGCTCCGGAAGAGAAAGGAGCTAGTTTAGGTTTCATTTGACGTTCTAAGCTCACTATAAAAAAAAAAAAAAAAAAAAATCCTCTTTCATACCCAAATAATAAAATCATCCAAAATATTTGGGAGCCCAGTGTAAAGGGTAAATCTCTGCCTTCTCATTTCCCAGTTTACTGCTGGGGTGTAGTGCCAATGGTGAGCTCTTAGGAACGGAGCCAGCCTTGAGTGCTGCGAGGGCGGAGGTGCTGCTTCATCTCTGGCATCTCCCACATCCACGTGCTGTTGAAACTTTCGTGTTAATTAATTATTTTTATTATTTCTATTTTTATTTTTTAGCTAGAGGTGGTCTTCATGCAGGAAGCATTAAATCCACCTCTATCTTTAAACCCCTTCCAAACCAACAGCATTTGTGGCTGGATATTGCCCACGTTTAATTCCGATCTGATTTCGACTTAGCGACGTTTTCTTTGTAAAACGGGTCCGGATTTGATCTTTCAGCTCACAGGCAGGTTCAAATTTGGATGCGGATTTGATGTGGAGTTTCGCTCTCGGCCTCAGTGTTCGTTCCTTTTTCTGCCCCGTCTGCGCAGGTTGGCTTCTCAATGAGCGAGCATCGATTCACCCAGGCACTTGATATTTAGGCGGTAGCGTATTAGTCACCACAAAGAGACACGGTTTATTTTTGTCGGTTTGCTCTTGATCTATCTCTAAACCAAACAAAATAAAAAAAAAAAAAACCAACCCCACTTCCCAAATGTAATCTCAAGACATATTTAATTACTTGTGCATAGTTTGAAATGAATTCTGCCTTCCCGGTGAGAATTTATGTTGTTAGATATAAAATTTTAAAATTTAATTGACAAGAAAAGCTTCACTGTATTTCTTTCTAAACAATCAGAAATATTTACATGGCAATATATTCCTTGTTTAGCATTTTAGAGGAGACCAAAAGCCCCAAAATACTGTTCAGGTTTTGATTACAACGTTTGAAATGTCAAGTTGGCTTTAATAGTGGGTCCTGATTTGTAGCTATCCTTTTTTAACTGACTGTTAGCAACCATTTCTTTTTCCAAATATATGAAACAAAATGCTCCGATCTTAAAATTAAAAAAAGAAAATTACTTTAAAAATCAGCAGTATTACAGCTGAACGTCAACCCCTTTGACCAAGGACTCTTTTGCAAGGTCGGGACGAGCGTTATTTTGAGTTGAACGTTCACTGAGAAGCTGTTTTTGGTAACAAATTAATAAATGTGTAGATAGTCACAACAAGCTATTAGATCTCCCCGTTTAGCTTCCTGCATGTCGCAGACTGAAGAAATGAAGCAAAGGAACGCTTAATTAAATAGGAAAACTTCTTCTTTTGATTAAAGCCTATCTTCAAAATTCAGCCGAAGTTCTAAAATATCACGCCCAGATGATCTATTTACATCAGGTTTGCTCATGATAATCAAGGACTTGATCATTCTCCCACAAAATAACGTAATGGGAGATTTAAAAAAAAATAAAAAATAAAAAATTTAAAGTAGCAAAAGTCCGTCCATTAAAAAATTAATAGTATTCATTCCACAGCAAGGAGCATTAACACGACTTGTCTTACTTGAAGTAACTAATTAGGTGTTTGAAACATTATAAAAGCATTTGTTACACACCTAAGATCATGCTGATACCGTAATGTAACATGATCTTCACTCACTGGAAATTACATGTCGAAGCCTCTATTTTACAAGGAAGTGGATGACTTTAGTCAAGGTCTTTTCTTTTTCGACCGTAATTGATGGCCGAGATGGCCTTGAAAAAGGAAAACCCCACGTGTAAAGGTGCCCGCTTCAAGGATGTTTGGTGCTTTTTTGCGATGGTTCTCGCTTTGCTGTAGCTTCTGTGGCCCCGTTAACCCCTCGCTGGTAAGCAGGAGCAGATCGTGGACCTTTTGAACGTGACTGAGACTCGTCTCTCTTAACTTCACGGGTCACTGGAGCTCTAGAGAGACAGGCAGGCACGTGTTTTACGGCGCTCATCTGATGGGGTTTCCGATACTTTTTTATACAAAGATGAGCGTGGGGTTGTTATATTCATAAGGAGTTTTTTCTCTTTGCTAGCTGAAGCGTTGAAGGTGCCATGGGAGACATCACTGCCCAGTGTGTCATTGGCCAATGGCCCGCTTAAACAAAAGGGTTAATTTTTTTTTTTTTTCTCACAGCTTGTAATTACATTGCCACAGAAACCAAAAACGGTGGGGTCAGAGGTTTGACAGTTTGAGGGAGATGACCCCATTTGGGTGTCTGTGATCACCTGGGTGCTGCAATTCCAGAAACCTGTGAACAGGAGCTCTGTGCCAGGAGAATAACCAGATATTTCTGTCCTGTGCCAGAAGAATAACCACATTTTTCTATCCTGGTTCACTTATTCCTCTAAATATCGATTATCCGGTCGCTGCCACGCTGTGAGATGGGGTGGGGTGGGCCGCTGGCTCTTCTTGCCTGGAGGCAAACCTCAGCCCTTTCTTTTGCTGTATTCCTCTTAGTCTCAGTCCCTGGATGTTGGATTGATTATTATTCAGTAATTACTTAGGAAAACCTGGAACTTTTTTTAATAATGTCCTTTTTTTTTTTTTTTTTTTTAAGTTGAAAGCTCTTGCATTGCCCTATGGGCTTTTAGTGTTGCGTTTGGAAGATACTCTACGTGGGATAGCTAGAAAACCAAAGCTATAGGAAGTAAAACATTAAAAAGAAAAGTTTAATTTGGTCACCACTTTCATGAGGTTCATGGAGGGAATATTCTGGCTGGCCAAAACCAGGGAAACTTCCCTCTCTGTCTTTTCAGCATGGGCTGGGGACAGCCCAGAGCTCCTGCTGTTCAACGCTGCTCCCAGACTGGAAAGCATCAAATTGCCAGAGCAAGCAGGGCTGGGCTCAAGTTAATTAGCCTTGGAAATAGGTGGATATTGCGAGATGGAGTGCGCTGCAGACACCTCCAGCCGCTGCCAGCCTGGGTGCTCTTCCCAGTGGGAGCAGCAGAGTTTTACCTGGATTTGAATTGATCTAGGAACGGTCCGGCCCATCGCTGGAGGTGATGAGCTCTTTGGGTTCATCAACTGGAGAGCACTGATGTGGTTACACGGCTCCTGGTTTGCACCGAGACACGTCCCGGGAGATGGGCTTGAGTATCACACCGCAATCCAATGGAAGATGGACCCCGGCGCTGCCGCAATTGCAGTTGAGGATGATTCAAAGCGCTTGCTTGGATGATTCCAAACGCCTGAGACCGGGATGTGACGCAGCAAATGCAGACCTGAGAAGCGGAACGGCAGCCCTGGCTCTCCTCGTGCCTCTGCGGTGGTGGGGCTGGATATTTTCCTTTGCTCTTCAACCTCAGCATGAGATACAAAATGGGCCGTGTCGGAATTCCACTTCTGCCCGTAGCGAGTCACACCTGTGCCCCAAAGGCCACGAGACAAGGGAGTTGTTCTGATTCAGCCCCTTTAGTTTAAAACGCAGATTTGGTTCAGCTCAGGAGGTCACTCAGTGGCAACGTGAATGCTGAGGGCACCAGACAGCGTCCGTTTGTTTTTTTTTTTTTTTCTTTCTCACTAAATAACGGGGAAAGACTTACTAAAAGAATGCTACAAAGCATTCCACCTGGAAGGCTTGCATATACGTATCACCACAGGTACCACTGCGGCAGAGAAGTATTAAAACAGAGATCTGACCGGAGTTTTATCACTTCATCTCTTTTTTTCTTCTCTTCCTTCCTTAGCACCATTTTGTGATTGAGCTAGTCTTGTTGCTTCTTTGCTGTTAATAGAAAAAAAAAAAAACTTGCTGGGCATGTTCTGTTTTCTCTCTTACTGCTGCGGGTTCCTGCATCTTAAAGGGGTTTTGAGAATTTTGTAGCTGTTTAGTTCAGATGTTAGTGACCATCTGACCCGCCCCTACTGTAACACTGCTTTCAGACCTGCCCAGTTGGTTACAAACCCATTGGAGCCATTTTTCAACGCAACAACTGGGTTCCTACTTCTAGAGCTTGCAAATAGAAAACCAGAGATAAGAGGCAAGAGAATAAAATAAGCCGAGTTGCTCAAGCACGGTTTGCCCAGTTAGAAAGAGCAAAGGCTCTGCCTGCCAGTGCCCTTGTCGGGGAGCGGCCACCGTCCACAGCTCTGCTCCGTGTTATCAAGTGCAACAGAAAAAATTCCTGCTGGAATAGAGGCATTAAACTCCCTTGTCTCTGCTAAGGGACGATCCAACCATTTTCCCCAAGGAACATTCACCCAAGCTTTGGTCAGTAAATCCTCGGAGGGCCCGAGCGATGGTGGAGCCTGGTGTTTGGAGGGCAGGACGGTCCTTTGGTCTGAAAAATTTCATTTTGAGGAAACGTTCCCCAAAGGTCCAATAATGTCCCTTCTCAGAATCGCTGCGATGCCTATTGCAGCCCAGAGAACCACGGCAGCGCTGCATGAAGTCTGACGATTAGTTGATTCGGTCTTAAATTATTTTTTTTTCTTTTTCTGCAGCACATCTACCTTTTAGTTGTTCGTTTTTCAGAGGGCTTCTAGGGAAGGAGAGGAGCGAGGCACTCCACCCATAATAAATCAGTTGCTAAAGCAATTTTGCCGACTCCTTTCTGCTGATTGGCCACGAAATGACTGTGATTTCATCCAATTTCAAACCCAGCTTTGCTGTTTAGGGATTGTGTTTTTCCCAGCTAATCCCACGTTAACAACTCTAGGTCTGTACCTTTCCCACCGATGGTTTCTCTCGCCGAGCAGCACAAAACCACGGCTCAGCAGAGCTTTGCTTGACCCAGGGCAGGGATGTCAGTGCCGGGATGCAGCTCCCCCTCGGTCACTGCTCAGGAGGAGAAGTAGCTGTTGCCCCACACACCAGTTTTCCAGGAACCAATGGCTGAGTTTGCATACGTGGGGTGGTGTCTAACCATCTGTCTGAATCAGGAGTGAGCTGGCCCTGAGCTGCCTGGATGCTCGTTTTGCCAAGGGGGGGGGGGCATATGTTACGTTCTGCTCCGATGATATTAGGATTAGACTGGATCTGAGGAAGGATTTCTGTGCAGAAGGGGCTGTTGGGCGTTGGAATGGGCTGCCCAGGGCAGGGGGGAGTCCCCGGGATCCCTGGAGGGGTTGAAGAGTCGGGCTGAGCCAGCGCTGAGGGATCTGGGGGAGTTGGGAACGGTCAGGGGGAGGCTCATGGAGGGGCTGGAGGAGCTCCAAGGGCTTTTCCAACCCAGGTGATTCTGGGATTCTGTGACAAGGGAGATGAGTGACTTGGATTCGTGAATCCCCAACAGAGAGAACAAGGGTGAGACAAGTCTCAAAGGCCAGACATTTATTAACCTCCCACAGTGTACTAATTGGATATACAATAATTGGCCAAGCATATAACAAGTTACGGCCAGGGATATAGTATGTCTAGTGTTACCTAATAATAAAAAGGAAAAAGGGGGGTGGGGG